TTATGGACCAACATTTGACTTCCTTCCAGCATTTTGCTGTTATAAATATTGCCACAGTGAATGAATATTCTTGTGTTTTTGTATTTGTGGAGGAGGATCTCTGCGGTAAGTTCCTAAAAGTATGACTGCTGGAGTATAGGGTAGATCCATAAGCAGTTTTATCAGATAGAGCCAAATTTTTCTTCACTGGAGCTGTGCCATTTGATATTCCTACTAGCATCATCGTCTCAAGGATGCTGTTTTCCATAGCCCTGGCCATGGCATATTGTCAATCTTCTGAATTTTTGCCAGCTGGACATGGAAGAATGGTATCTCAGGGGAGTAGCACTTTTCAATTTAGTCAGGAGCTGCCGAGCTGGCGCACCACTGGGAATTTCCGTAGAGGAGGTGAAAGCAGCAGGGAGAAGCCTGTGCCTTCCTGAGGTGCTGAGATGTCTGCACCCTGGGCTACTCCTCCTCCTCCCAAGCAGCCCAGAGCACGTCTGAGACTGGCAAGCAATGAAGAGCAGAGCTGGAAAACCATACTTGGATTCTACTCTGCCTCCGTAGGAAGTGGATGGATATCACTGCCAAAGCCTCTGCCAGCCCCATGCTTCGGTACGAGTTAAAGAAAGGTCCCCCTCCTTCCTGCACCAGGGCCTGCAGCTTACAGGGCATGAGCCCGAGTTGAGCTTCCACCTGCCCTCTTGGCTGGGCAGCTTTGTGCAGTGCCCAGCCTGAACAACCAACTATGTGTGGTGGCCCAGACACTGGTGTTCCATAGGTCAACCTCTCTGAGGTCTCTACCGGAGGAGGTGAGAATGTTTCCCCCGTAATACTTTCTTTTGGGGAAGGAAGAGAGAAAACATAAAAAACAATTGCCAATACTCACACACTACTTCTCAAGCAAGAAGCACATTCGCACATGTGATCTCTCTTAATCCTCATGACAACACCGCACGGCACGAAGGCAGACGTGCTCCGACGCCACCGTTCTCTCCCGTGGAACAGCTGTGGCCCCCCCCCAGCAGAGGAAGCAATGTGCCCACACTCACGCAGTCACAAACAGATACTGGCAGCTCCAGGTCTTGTGAGGACTGGGAGATGTTCTTTTTTTTTTTTTTTAATCTGTGATTTTCAAATCTATCTGTCTGCTTGTCTGCATACATGCCTGCCTATGTATGCATGTATGCATGTTTGTATGTATGTATGTATCTGTCTACTTTCCTCCCCTCCTTCCCTCCCTTGCAGTAGAATTCTAACTGTTCTTTTCTTTCTCAAGAAAAACGTTCCTATGAAATCCCAACTTACAGAACGAAGCTGTCTTATTTGAAAGGGGAGGGGTGTTCAAGCCCTAGCTCCTCAGCTCCCTGTCTGTCCCCAGAGCAGCCTAAGGAATTCAGACACTGAACTGTATTAAACTGGTTCCCCTTATTACCGCACATCATTCTTGGGGTCTCATGATTCAAAAGCATATGGATTTTCCCTCCATATTGCCTGTTATTAGCGCCTGTAGCTAAGCATGATTAACATATTGACTTCACACACACACACACACACACACACACACACACAGCCCATTAGTTCTTGCCTTCCTCCCGCAAGGCACTCAGTCCATAACTGGAGCCGCCCAAACATTCCTTTCCATTAGCCAGGACTTTGGCTCTCACAAGGCTAGTCAAATGTTGGCTCCAGGAATGAAAGGAATTCCAGAGCTCTAGATGAGCAGGATAGTTTGTGTGAATGATGGCTTTCGCCAGACGGAGAGCTAGAACTAAAATTCCAGGCCAGTGTGAGAGGCAGCCACGTTCACGCTTTGCTAGCTAACGTCCCGGGGGAGGTGGAGCGCGTACCAAATCGCCCTGCTCCAGCCGACTCTCACCCAGACCGCCTGGGCGCTGCCAAACACGTTAGGGCAGTGCCATACCCAGGCCAGACACTGAACGCTCGGTGCTGCTGGAGGCTGGGAGGCCGCATCTCTCACGGGGCCAGTTGTACGGCCACAGGTCCCCTCAGGCTCCTCAACGTGACAATCCCGCCCAGCATCTCCTGGTTCCATCCCTCTTCCCGAGGCAGGAAACAGATCTCAGCAGGGTCAGGTTGAGAGTCTAGAATGAGTCAGACCCTACACGGATGGCGTCAGCCCCAAATCCAAACCCTGTCTTGACCTGCACAGGATGAGAAGGCTATTGCGGTCCTTCCTGGCCACCCCTTCCACGTAAGACAGACTCCCGGCACTCACTCACCTGCGCATACAAAGCGGGGACAGCCCGGCGTTTGTGGGGGAACAGAGAGGTGGAAAACTGGCCTGGGGGACAAGAGCAAACCGCAGCTCTTCCAGGGCGCAGCTGCTGATTCCTGCTTTTTCATGATTTTTTTTCCCCTCCTTCATCGTGCCAGAAGATTCCAGGAAGAACTCAAAACTTGGGCAGCGAGTTTAAGGGTTATTGATAAGAACAACAAAAAGAATTCCAAACAAAACTCTGGTTGACTAGTGTCAGAAGAAAAAGAAAGTATGTTTAGGAATTATAAGCCAGGAGTAGATTTCCAACATGTTACCAATTTGTAAAAGCGTAAGGAAAAGAAAACCGTGCTCCTTTTGACAGCCTTGTGCAAGGGAAGTAGGAAAGAACTTCTGCCCTGGAGAGAGAAAAAAAAAAACCCAGAAAGGACAAGACCTAAATCTCTTTTAACAAGTGGCAAAGGATAGGCACCCTGCAGGGATCAGAGGGTTTACATTTTAAAAAATAAAAGCCGGAAAGAAAAAACACATGATGTACTGCTTTGGAGAGAAAATTCAGTCACAAGTGAGACCATGTGGGACGTGAAGAGTGGGCGAGAAGAGAAACACGGAGCGGTGCCCAGGCTCGGGCCACCTGGTCGCCAGGGGAATGTGGAGAAGCAGCCAGCAGGGAGCCAGCAGGAGGGAAGATTCTAGCTGGAGGAGAGGCGGGAGAAGCATCCCTGAGGGTCAGCCGGGTGAGAAGGCAAATCTGGGGCATGTGCTCTGTGAATGTCACACGGAACAGAAAAGAGTACATGAGAAATCCGGCACTGCCAGCCCGGAAAAGCCAGCAATGGATTTTTCTAAAAGAGACATACCAGGAACGATTCTTTTAGAAGAAAACACGCTTCACTGTGGGCTCAGGTGGAGCAGGAGGACAAGGCTGGTGAGAGAATGAGATGTATTTCGAAATGATGAGCAGAGGGAGAGTGGCCGACCGCAGACGTGAGGCAAAGAAAAAGGAGAAAAATAGTCTCTGCAGCTGAGATTTGGGTCAGGTGATCTCCGCCCAGCTGGGCTCTGCCTGGGGCGATCCAAGGCTTGTTAGGAGCAGAGAATTTTTTTACATTGCACGTCACCCCTGCAAAGCACCCAAGCAAGTGACAGGAGGTGCTGACCTTAGAAAATCACATTTAAGGCCAGG